GGCGGCGCACCATGCTGGGCATGTACGTGCCGGACAGGTTTGCCCTCAAGTCGTCTAAAGTGCAGGACGGGATGGGGCTCTATACGGCCCGCAGAGTGGAAAAGGTGGGTGATCCTCAGCCCCGGGGGTGCCCGGCCCGCGGCCGGCTCCCGCGGAGAGAGGCTGCCACGTAGCACAGGAGGGGATTGCACGGCGCCGTCTCCCCGCGCTGCTGCCTGCCTGAATGCAGCCCTCCCCTTTGTCGGACCTCGCTTCACTTCCGTCTGCTCCTCGGTGAAGGAAAACCCCTTCAAAAGTTCAAAACCAGCCAGCGGGTTGGGATGCCCCACACCCGCCCCGCAGGCCCTGGGCAGCAGCTGTGCCCACAGCTGGCTCATTCTGTGCCCCAGCATGAAGTGAGCTGGGGGGGAGGGGGGTTGTTTTATTCGGTGGTGCCCTGCTCCTCACACAGCTTCTTTCTTTCAGAGTTGGGCTAGGTCCTGCTTTGAGCAGGGTGTCGGACTGGATGATCTTGGGTCCCTTCCAACAGGGCCAGAGTTACACTTCTAGTTTCAGGGGGTCTGCAAAAATAATAAAATTAAACGGGTTTACTGATTAACAAGTCCACCCAAGTGAAGGAGCAATCCAGAGGATGCCCCTCCCCCCAGGTTATGATTTTCAAATCTTTCAGGCAGGCTCTTGTCTCTTCTGTGTCCCCCCTGAGCTCCACTGTCATTGGCAACCTGTCTTCCAGCCCTCCTTTTCTCTGATTCTGTGAAATGCACCTCTTGTGATCTACCTGGGAAGATCTGGCACCTCTTGTGATCTACCCAGGCCCCTGGCACCCCTCAAACTCATGTGCTTTTCTGGCCTTTCCTAGAGCAAATGCCCAAATTCACCATTAGCTTCTTACAACAAAACAACTTGGAAATCACAAGAAAATTGTCCTTTTCTGAAAATTTACAATTTTTGGCGGGGGGGTTTTGTTGCCATTTCCCAGTTGGTCTAATAAAAGGTATCATTTTGGAACCAAGAGTTCTAGTTTTTTGTATGTCTTTTTGTCTCAGACCAACACGGCTACCAAGTATACCCCATTAGCTTCTTGAAACTTCAGTTATCTAGATCCCACTTCCTCAAAGCAGGTCATATCCCCTGACTGACGTTAATTAGAATATTCTCTTGATGATCCCAAAAATCTCAATTAGCCAGCACTAATGTGTGGTACCCATTATGTTCAGATAATTGAAGTGATGCTAAACTATTGTTATTAATCCCATATTAATTTAAGCTTCTACTGGGGTTGTTCTTTTTTTCTTGGATTCTTTAGTTTTTTGAGTCTGCGTCCCATTTTCGGATCTTACTGATTGATTCGAGAATCATTTGTACTTCCTAGGCTGCCTTCTGATGTATACAGCTCGCTTTGACTCCTTGGCATACAGTGAAGCTCAAGCATATTTTGACCTATTTTAATGGTCTGGGACATCTCTGGATCTATTTTGCCTCTCCGTGATACTGGTGTACCTTGGGATTAACTGGCTGTGTCTACACAAGATACTGACAGCGCAGTTCTTATTGTACAGTCATTTAGTACTTGTATACACAAACACTTATATACACAAGTACTAAATGTGTATACAAGTACTAAATGACTGCACAGTTACTTGGAGTTACTGTGCAGTAACTGAAGTTACTGTGCAGTAGCGTCGCCGAATGGCTTGTAGGTGATGCTGGCTGCACAGAAGCTCATTACTACTGCACAGTAGCATCACGTCACGCTTTGTGTCATGCGATGCTACTGCACAATAGTAACAAGCTACTGCTCAGTCAGTTTCTCCTGTAGATGTGGCCACTGAGTTCAAAACATTGCAATGGGCAGAAGGGAGGGAAATCTTCACCTTACTCCTAAGTGAAGCCCTTCCATTTTGGAGATGATGGACTGCAGCATTGGGGAAACACATTGGGAAGCATCAAAGGAAAAACCCACTGTGTGGACCCGAGTTGGAGGGAAGAAAATAAAAGCTATAGTGGATACTGGATGCGCCCAGATGTTGATTAGAACCAGCATAGCTCCCCGAGGCTGGGCTCCGAGCGCAAGCACCTTAAAAATGATTTGTATGCATGGCCAGTTGTTGGTGTACCGCCGAAGGAAATATCGGGTGGAAATCTTGGACACCACCCGAGAGATGCCAGTAGGTCTAGCCAGTGACCTACCTTACCCGATTGGGCAGAGACTGGGAGGGGATTTATGAAGTCTTGGACACTGTGAGGAGACAAGAAGTCAAAGTCAAGAAGGTTTAGCTGGAAAGAACAGCGAAGATTACACTGAACCCGATACACTGAATTTGGAGAGTTTAGCAAGCAGCTCCTGCTTTCGAGAGGCTCAACAAGGCGAGGACCTGTTTCGATCAATAAGACAAATGGAGCTGACCAAGCAGGACGATCAGGTAATTTGCCCAGAGAGATGCCACACATACCCAGGTATGAGTTGAGGAAAGTTTTGTTATATAGGATCTAGGCGGGACATATAGAAGGGACAGAGGTACTGCAACTGCTGATACTTTGAGACTACTGGGAACCCCTCTTGAAACTCGCTCATATGAATCCATTAGGAGGGCACATGGGAAGAGCTAAAACGGAAACCAGGCTAACTAAGTGGTGTTTCTGGCCCAGACTGTATGAACAAGTTGAAGACTATTGCAGAGCCTGCCCAAGTTGCCAGAGGGTCAGCCTTCAAAAACCCCCGCGGGCTCCCTTACAATCCACGCCAGTGATGGGAGAGCCATTTTCCCGTATAGCCCTGGACGTGGTTGGACCATTACCGAAAAGTGTGGCAGGTTACCATTACCGAAAAGTGTGGCAGGTTACCAATTCGTACTTGTCTTGATAGACTATGCCACTCAGTTTCTGGATGCCATCCCATTGAGAACAGTCACTGGACCTCAAATAGCAGAAGAATTGCTTAAGTGGGTATCCCGCTTTGGTATTCCTAGGAAGATCATTATGG